ATATATATATATATATATATATATATATATAAATCATTTGGCATGAATTATCGACAAACATGCAGTGTAAAACATAAATATTGTAAATCAACACTCTTCTGACACCACCACAGTTAGTGTGCGTTACCCCTGGTTTCCGCGCTCGTGGTACTTCTTTCTTATCATTAACGTTTCTCTATATTTTAAGTAGCAACGTCGTGGAAGACCAGTTGAAACGTGTAAAAATATGTTTGTTTGTTTTTTTTTACATAAAAGCACACGAAGAGCAATCTTACAGTAGATCACAAAAAATACGTTTTAACTCGCGGTTTTACATAGCTTTATAACTGACAGTAATTAATTTACAGCCTTTTCAAGCAAGATTATTCGTTCTTGTTTTGCTGTTTGGTTCATAAACTTTTATTTCAATAAGAATGATCGTGAATTAAGGGAAACGTTGTTCGTGTAATAAACTCGTTTACTTCTAATGTTTTATTTTAGAAATCCAAAGTATAAACGTGTCTGTCAAAACAGTTGTTCATCACACTGGGCTGTCTTGTTGCCGTGTCCGCTTCTGGAAATCGAAACCTCCCGCTGATAAAAGTTAAAAATTATTACAACTTGGTGTAAAACATTTTGTATTTTCAAATGAAAACTAGCTTGAAGCTGTAACTAAACAGTTATTAAATATTTCTCTATATTTGCAAGTAATAACAAAATGTAATTGATTTTTTTTTTTCAAAATGAAATTTGAATATAAGGTTCAGAAGCAGAAAAACCATGAAAAACACAAAGTTTGCAAAATATTAAGAGTCAATAAATTCTGTACTGATTTCTAAACTATACGATATCCCAAATGAAACAAAAAGTTTAGTAGCAAAACAGATATATTGGGATAAAAGCAGTCTGTAAGACACCGTTCGATCGAGGTAGGGGGCTCTTGAATGTGTCGAAACTGTCTTTGTGTCAAATGAAAAAAAAAAGTTGATTTTCTTGCAGTTGTAACTAATCGACGTGACGTTTTGTGTGCACTTATCCCTCTAACAGTTAAAATATTGGTCTATTAACAAAACAAGCTGCATGACGTATACAGTGTTCTGATGACAGGTATTAAAACTGTGAACGCAGCGTGTACACCAGCATTTAATGGATACACGTAAAACTTGCAAAAAACATTTTAATCTTATATATGTGCCTACAAATGATGGAATGCTGAATAAAAGAAAAACCAATTCCTCGCTTATTGTGGTATTTATAAAAAATCGTGTTAAATATGTTACATGTAATACTTATGTGTAAAGCTAACATGATTATGTAGTTCTACCCACAAAACAGGAATGCTTCGTTAAAATAAATCGGTAACTGATTTGAAGACACGCTAATTAACATTAGTGTCATATATTAAAGTACTAGTGTTCACAAATGTTAGACGAGTCACGTCTTCCAACAATTTTAAAGG